AGGATGATGCTCTGGAGCGTTTGTTGGCCGGCTCCGGCTGTGAGGTTCACTGTTTTGACCCCAGCATCAGACGAGCTCATCTGCAGGAAGATAACATGTGGCTCCATCGCCTCTCTGTGGACTGGAGGGACCCGAACCCCGCCGTCCCCATCCAGAGACTCCACAGCGGCTCCAAGAAACTCGCTGCCATCCTCAGCCACTTCGGACACAGACAGGTCAGAGGAAAAAACACACGCTCCTTATCAGCATCTTTCTTTCTTTGTTTTTCCAATAAAATGTCAAAATTACTAGACTAAATGCAATCCATATCAAGTTATATTTATGTTAATATTTTATATAATATATATTTTATGCAATATATCATTTATATCCATTCTTTCTATAACTATCTATATTTATATTCTGTTTCTTAATAAAATGGCAAATAGTTTTTCTAATTTTAAGCAGATTTGTGTTTTAAAAAGCTATTTTTAAGCTATGCGTAAAAATAAACTATTTGCCAGGTACACAAGGTAAATGTATAGAAATAGAAAACGTAATTTAATAATATATTACAATTAAATAGAGATTAATAGAATAAAAAAGATGAATGAAAGAACAAACAAACAAATAAATAAAACAAGAAGCAACTATTTGTCAGGGATGTAAGGTAAATGTAATTAAATAGAAAACTTAAAGTTATTAATATTTTAGAAAAAAAATTTAGATTAATCTATACGTAAAAAAAAAAAAAAAATTTTAATTAATTAATGTATATATATATATAAAATGCATGAACAAACAAACTAACTAAATAAGATTGTCAAGACATTTTAGGCTTTTAATAGGATAAGGATAAAATAAGGAAGTTCCCGATTAAAACTAGAAAATGTCAGGGGCCATAATGTAAATATATATTAATATATTACAATTAATTCATATTAATTAATATTACAATTAATTTGAAAGAAGGAAAGAAAGAAATGTCTTTGGTTTAAGTGAAAAATAAGGAATTAATCACACTGGCCAAAGAAAATTTCATTTCACCTCATTTTGTTTCATTTACCTCCTTTAACCCACGAATAACTCCTTTATATTTATCTATCATGTGCCCTGTTTTTTCTATCATCTGGCTGAAGAAGAGTTTAGTCTTTGCACATTAAACCCATGTTCTTGAGCAGAAGTCGAGCTCCTCGCACTGACGGAGACACAAACAATTCATGCGGCTTTAGTTCTGTGTGTGTGAGAGAGAGAGAGAGAGAGAGAGAGAGAGAGAG